AATAGAATGAAATAAAATGGGATAGAATGAAATACCACGGAATAGAATGAAATAAAATGGAATAGAATGAAATAAAATGGAATAGAATGAAATGGAATAGAATGAAATGGAATAGAATGAAATAAAATGGAATAGAATGAAATGGAATAGAATGAAACGGAATAGAATGAAATAAAATGGAATAGAATGAAATGGAATAGAATGAAATGGAATAGAATGGTAGAAAAATGGGATAGAATGAAATAAAATGGAATAGAATGACTTAAAAATGGTAAAGAAATGAAATGGAATAGAAATAAAATGGAATAGAATGAAATAAAATGGAATAGAATGAAATAAAATGGAATAGAATGAAATGGAATAGAATGAAATAAAATGGAATAGAATGAAATAAAATGGAATAGAATGAAATCAAATGGAATCGAATGAAATGGAATAGAATGAAATAAAATGGAATAGAATGAAATAAAATGGAATAGAATGAAATAAAATGGAATAGAATGACATAAAATGGAATAGAATGAAATAAAATGGAATAGAATGAAATAAAATGGAATAGAATGAAATGGAATAGAATGAAATGGAATAGAATGAAATAAAATGGAATAGAATGAAATAAATGGAATAGAATGAAATGGAATAGAACGAAATGGAATAGAACGAAATAAAATGGAATAGAATGAAATGGAATAGAATGAAATGGAATAGAATGGTAGAAAAATGGGATAGAATGAAATAAAATGGAATAGAATGACTTAAAAATGGTAAAGAAATGAAATGGAATAGAAATAAAATGGAATAGAATGAAATAAAATGGAATAGAATGAAATAAAATGGAATAGAATGAAATAAAATGGAATAGAATGAAATAAAATGGAATAGAATGAAATAAAATGGGATAGAATGAAATAAAATGAAATAAAATGGAATAGAATGAAATAAAATGGAATAGAATGAAATAAAATGGAATAGAATGAAATAAAATGGAATAGAATGAAATAAAATGGAATAGAATGAAATAAAATGGGATAGAATGAAATAAAATGGGATAGAATGAAATAAAATGGAATAGAATGAAATAAAATGGAACAGAATGAAATAAAATGGAATAGAATGAAATAAAATGGAATAGAATGAAATAAAATGGAATAGAATGAAATAAAATGGTAAAGAAATGAAATAAAATGGTAAAGAAATGAAATAAAATGGTAAAGAAATGAAATAAAATGGAATAGAATGAAATAAAATGGAATAGAATGAAATAAAATGGAATAGAATGAAATGAAATGAAATGGAATAAAATGGTAAAGAATGAAATAAAATGGAATAGAAAAGAAATAAACTTTTTACAAATGAAATGAAATGAAATGGAGTTCTTTAGAAGACAAGAAATTGAGTTTTATAAATGACTTCAATGAAATTAAGAAATTATGGGACAACTCATTGTTGTAGAGTAATCTATAGAGTTCACAAGGTATTTACCTGATGGCCCCTATACACTGTATATAAGTTCTGGTGGTAGAAAATGACGTGTTTTTAGACAATTCAGACAGTAGATATTCTATTAATTCTAAAAATAGCGTGTTGTTACAACTCATCACCAAGTGACCTGAAAAAAAATAACAGAGGGTTGTAGCTCAGCCTGTTAAGAGTGTTGCAATTTTATGACATCATTTGCTTTGTTCGGTCCACCAGATGATAGTTGTGGATTTCAATATATACTTGCTTTAACATCTGAATTGAATCTAAAATCCCTTTAGCATTTTAATTCTGAAAATAAAGCTTCCGTTTGTCTACAATTAAATAACAATGAACTGCTTTGACTGAAAAAGGTCAAATAAGGTCAAAGTTTTATTCAATATTCACCCATACACGCTATATTTATTTATGAATTTAGGTGAACCAAAAGTCTTATTTTGATTCTGAAAAGTACTACAGGTGTCAAAATTAAATTTTTTACAGGAATAAATTTGCCAACAATATCTGATTAATTCAGTAAAGAATGGAAAAAGTAACGTAAGATGATCTTCGTGTTCCAGTATTCTGATTGGTCAATCACTAAAATTCATTTTAAACCTAGTTTTATTATCCAATCAGATGACTGCATTTCTTTAAATCTGGATTAATCTTAGATTAAGATTTCAGCAAATCAAAGATACCTACCTATGGCTATGATTGTTCGTTTACGCACAGCTAGTCGGGGACTGGACAGCTGGGGTAACAGATTCTGTAAGATAGAGCTGTGAAAACTAACTAGCAGACCTGAAAATTAAACAAAGGCAATAACTCTTGCTGTTATAGTACTGCAAATTAAAGTATAGAGCTTAGAAAAGTTAGACCAGGACAAAATATCACAGGATCCTTGTGAACCTAAGTTGTTATCCTTGTAATATCATTGCCAAGAGGTTTGGTCAAGGACCAGCTGGTACAAAGGATTCTTGAGAACCTAAGTTGTTATCCTTGTAAAATCAATGCCCAAAGATTTGGCCAAGGACCAGCTGGTACAAAGGATCATGAACCTAAGTTGTTATCCTTGTGAAATCAATGCCAAGAAGTTTGGTCAAGGACCAGCTGGTAGAAAGGATCCTTGTGAACCTAAGTTGTTATCCTTGTAAAAATGGGTTGTTTCTGTCTCACCTCCAAATCTGCTCAACAGGTCTCCCAGAATATCTAAAGCTTCTAATTGGACTGATACATCTTCTTGCTACAAAATAGAAGAATCTGCAGTAGAGGAGGATTCGAACCCACAGCACCTAATTGCTGAGCAGACGACCATCCAACTCGCTACCGACTAAGCTATTCCACAGGGTGGGGCCCACACGGTTTGGCATTATTAGCTTGCTTAGAATTTATCGCAAAATAGTTTGAGATTGTTTCCTGTCGTTTTCCTGTTGTTTACTTTGGTCGCTTCCTAGTCTTTTACTTTGGTCGTTTACTCTGGTCGTTTCAGGTTTACTTTGGTCGCTTCCTGGTCGTTTCTGGTCCGTTCATGTTTTATTTAGTGTGATTGTAAAGAGGTTTTCTATTTTTTTATGTTTCTTGTAAACACTGATAACATGGGTTTAAATCATTCTAATTTTCAATCAGACATCTGTGATTCCTGCAATTCCACTAAAACTAAGTATCTGATGACGTCACCCCTGCGAAATTTGCTTTTATCACATCGGTTTGACATCATAAACACTTAGTCTTAGTGGAATTGCAGGAACCACAGACGTCTGATTGAAAATTAGAATGGTGTAAATTGATGCTATCAGTGTCCCTGATACACATAACAAAATTTAGAAAACCTTTTTTCAATCCCTTTAAGGAGCTTTTTTCAATAGCTATGACACAAAACACTTCAGTTAAAGTTGAGATGTCGTAAATGCAAACTTTACAACACTATAAGACAATGTGAGACTAAGAATTTTAATACCTACCTTGCCTATAGCACTTGTTAGTCGGCCGGTAATTTTCTTACAGATATTAGCAGCCAGGGTTGTGGAAGAGGGAGGTAACTCACTTATTACTGTTTTTAAGCCTGGAAGAACAAAAATGAAATGAATGGAGTTTTACGTCCTACTTTTCTACACCATGTGGGCTGATGAAGACAGGCAACGCCATGCTGTGTGCAATGAGGGAAATTTTGCCAGGACAGCGGTATATCCTGCTCTTTTTCGATTTCCAACTGTCGAGGGATCTTTAACGTGCACAGCCTGTAGCACACGGGGCCTCGGTTTATTGTCCCATCCGAACAACCTGACAATAAACTGAGGCCCCGCGTGCTACAGGCTGTTCACTTCAAGATTCCAACTGTAGCCCCTTTCATGTTTGATTAATTTTCTTGAGGAGGGTTTAGATTCAGCACAGAAACAAAAAGAGACATGATTGTTACTATTATTGGTATGATACTCAGATTGTGCTGAATAAGGCAATATACTGAGGTGGATAGCAGACTGTGGTATAGTGGAATTTGTATTTTGGTATGAATTGCTCTCCATACTTGAACTAGTTTGAATAATACATAGATCAACAGATTAAAGATGGGTTTCCTTATTTTTTTAGTCTCAAATTAAGCAAACTATTTGATTAATTGGTGTTTCTAATGAATTATCATGTATTCTTAATCATATCATTATGTTCTTATTGCATATAATTAACAGTTTTAACCAATCTGGATAAACAAAAAAAGACTTTTTGACCTTTCTTGATCGATCACTCATTGGAATTCTGCTGGTAATTCTCTTCTAATTTAGCTAATTATGAATTAATTATGGACATGTGAGACAAACTGGTATTTTTCCAAGTCATTAGAACACCTCTACTTTCTATTCATATAAGTATTAGCATTTTCATTTTCATCAATAAAAATAAGGGAACCCATCTTTAACTACTGTACAGTGTTTCTTATATTATACATAAATACAATACCCTTCTACCCATGCAAGACACAAGGGGGCATTACTGAGGCAGATAGCAGACGACATTACAGGGGAGGACAATAGAACAGCATTGATATGGCCTACTTGAGAGAATATATACTGACAAAAAGTCAAAAAGTTGTGCTGACACAATTTTCAACGAATATTAAGTATTGGCAAATTTTGTTTGTATAAACCGGAAGATGATTGTGTCCTGTTTTAGTGTTGATTACCCAGACTCTTTTTTTCTCAAACAGAACGGATTCATGGCTTGCTCACTTTTTAAAAAAAATTCGGATTATAGTTTTATTGTGGCTTTTTCAAACTTGATAAAGTGTGGGATGCATTCTTATTTAACCAATGGTCACTATTAAACACAAATATTAGCCACAGGACGAGTGTATTCTAAGACCTAGTATCACTTTAAAGATAGAAATCCAATACTTCTGTTTATATTTTGTACAGCTGTTAATCTTAGCTTAGCAAAGTTATTTGATAATTCTATTTATAACTTTTAACAAAGTATAATTTTCATTATTTCCCAGGGATTTTCACTATTTCATTTCCCAGAGAATTTCACTACTTCATTTCCCAGAGAATTTCACTATTTCATTTCCCAGAGAATTTCACTATTTCATTTCCCAGAGAATTTCACTACTTCATTTCCCAGAGAATTTCACTATTTCATTTCCCAGAGAATTTCACTATTTCATTTCCCAGAGAATTTCACTATTTCATTTCCCAGAGAATTTCACTATTTCATTTCCCAGAGAATTTCACTATTTCATTTCCCAGAGAATTTCACTACTTCATTTCCCAGAGAATTTCACTATTTCATTTCCCAGAGAATTTCATACTATGTAGAATATCAAAACAGAAACCTAGATGTAACTCAAGAGTTTCGTGCTATACAATCTTCAGACAACTGACCTATTTTCAGCCTGCATCACTACTGAAGTTGGACAAGTAGAATTTATTTTCCAGAAGATAATACAACAAACTCAACTGTTACAACCATAGAAATTTCAAAAACTTGTACAATGGAGGAATATAAAGAGAAAGAAGAAGCTGCATTAAGGGAAGTGAAGGAAGAACTAAAGGAACTGGACCAGGATTTGGAAAATGTGTACGAAACCATTTATAAAATAAAACAGTTCTACCGAGCCCTGCAATCGGCGCCACCAAACATCAATGCGGAATATCGTAAAAAATTAGCAAAGTTGATCATAGCTCATGGAAAATTTGTACCCCTTTTGTGCAGCAACATTGTTAGATTGATCAAAGAAGACAATTTTCATGAACACGAGAAAAATCCAGTGGCTGAAAAGAATTTCGACTTGATAAAATTATGTTGCTCTTCATTGTTGAATTATTCGGATTGCTCTGACTTATTTTGTGGGCAGTTAGGTGAACAGGAAGAGATTGTTCAAGTCATGGCGGACAAACTGTCGGCATGGGCACCAGATCATTTGACGGGAAGTTTACCAGTAAGTCAAATCTATTCAGTATTTTTTCACTACATAGTTTAACGTCTTTATACACTGTTTAAAGGGACAGATGCCAGTTTTCCCAGAAAACGGGAATATTTTTTAGCTAAGCCAATCAGTAATAATGTGCACAGCTCACTGTCGAAATTTGAGCCTTCAAATCCATGTGTGTCTAGAATTATCCACGTTTGAAAGTTAAAATGACGACTCGTCTTTTCTTGAGACACTGTGATATATAGAAAAGACATCTATAGAAATAGTGAGTAAAATTCCTAGTTTGAGATATTTTTAAAGGAATTATGTGACTATTTACATATATTCAAGACTCAAATCAACCCTAAAAAAATTGCGCACCTGTCCCTTTAATTTTTGATGGGTTTCCATATCTTTTAGTGTCAAATTAAGGAAACTATTTGATTAATTGGTGTTTCTAATGAATTATCATGTATTCTTAATCATATCATTATGTTCTTATTGCATATAATTAAGAGTTTTAACCAATCATAAATATCCATGTATGTACAGTCTGGATAAACAAAAAAAGACTTTTTGACCTTTCTTGATCGGTCACTCATTTGGAATTCTGCTGGTAATTCTCTTCTAATTTAGCTAATTATGAATTAATTATGTACATGTGAGACAAACTGGTATTTTTCCAAGTCATTAAAACACCTCTACTTTCTATTCATAAAAGTATTAGCTATGAAAATAAGGCAACCCATCTTTAAGAACATACATTTCATCTCTTTCAGGAAGAAGAGGAGTACATGGTTAAACGATTTTTAGGAATATCACACAATGTGGTAAAATTGCCTGAAAACGTCAACACCTTCCGTAAAAACGATTATGTCAAAGCCGTAGCATCTTATTTGGAATCGAAGACAGAAAAATATACTTTATCGGCTCTGGCAACACTTGCTGATATCCTGACTGAGGAAGAATGCCATCTTATAAAAACCAACGAAGACAGCATCAAATTCCTCTTATCAAAACTTGATAACGCCAGTGCAAGTTCTACTCGTAGAGATAAGGGATGGTCGGCTGCAGAACTCGGCAGAAGTAAGTCCTCCATTTTTCTACTTTACAAGGATAACAACCTACTACTTGCGGATCTTGTCTACCAGTTGGTCTTAGGCAAAATTGATTTTTCCTTGCTTAATTACATTTAGTTTTGACTGAAAAAATGAGGACTTAAAACTTAAAGGGACAGGTGTGTCATTTTGGGGCGTTGATTTGAGTCTTGAATATTATGTGAATAGTCTTCAGAAGTACTAGAAATGTATGAAAATCACATAATTCCTTTTAAAATATCTCAAACTAAGAATTTTACTCACTATTTCTATAGATGTCTTTTCTATATATGACAGTGTCTCAAGAAATGACGAGTCGTCATTTTAACTTTCAAACGCAGATAATTCTGGATACACATGGATTTGAAGGCTCAAATTTCAACAGTGAGCTGTAAACACTATTACTGATTGGCTTAGCTAAAAATTTCCCATTTTGAGACTAAAGACCATCGTCAAAACAGTTCTTTGAAAATCACACCAAGTTTCATCAAAATCAATCGAAAATTGTAGCTTCTATTGGTCTCACAAACAAATTTTAATTGATTTTACAAAGACAAGGGCAATAACTCAAAAACTGTTCTATGAAAACTCTTCAAATTCAAACTAGACGCAGAAGGGTGACGACCATATTTCAATTAAAAATAATATTATGGTGAAAAACTTTTTCAGCTGTTGGCAGATTAGCAAGGAATGATTCTAACAAGAAAATGCTAGTTACAATGGGTGCTCTCCCTTTGCTTTTAGCCTTGACTACATCAGATATCAAGATTGAACAAGAAGGTAACCTTGACCTTTAGTTATTTAACCCTTTGTTGTCTCGTTCAATACCACCACCATGAAGCAAGTCAAGATGCAGGCAGGCGGGCGGTCTTAGTCAAATCTCCAGTCAGTCGTTTTCCACTATGTTGATATTCATGTGCGGATCATGCAATTGAAAGGAAAATGAATCTGATTGGATGATGACGTCTGTCAGTCTCGCAGACGATAAAACTATCCGAGACAATTATCAAACTTGTTTGCTATTATAAATCCTGTCGGGGACGTGATAATCTTGTCGTGGAAGCATGGGCACACGCGAGGTTTTACTTATCGGCGACAAAAATCCACGACCAAGACCGCTCATGTCCCGTACCTTTAAGTAAGTCCATGCCCATTATGAGAGTCTCCAAGAGAAATCCTTTGTGTCAATAAACAAAACATGATTGTCACATATTCAAATATAACGATGGCCATCGTAATAGGCCCCAAGCAGACGGACAGACAGACACGCCAAGGTTTGGGAAAATTAAATCTGGCAACTCATTTCATAAATTACATCAGCGCTGGTCCTCTATTTGTGGATACTAAGACAGATGATTTGATTGTTTCAGAATCTATCGAGGCCCTGTGGGTCTTGTCGTTTGATGAAGAAAATCAACCCAAGATGGTGGCTGAACCCAACTTGATAGAAACCATTGATAAATTACGGAGAACAACAGAGGGAAATGTTAAAAAGCTCTGTAATGGTATACTTTGGACTCTGCGAAATATTTTACAAGCAAACGACAAATTCAAACATCTAGGTAAGTATAGTGCAAATAGCCAAAAGTTCAAAGGTCACTGAGTCACGTGACGAAAGTTACGATGATGCCCAAGACTAGTTTACAGTCATCGTAAAGATAATTTAATATTATGTTACAAAAAATGCATCTTCAGAGGTGTGATAAATCCCCATTTAACAGGGCCTATTTTTTCTGACTCTACGCCAGCCAACAAATGCCAAAATTTCTATGACAAGAACCCCAGTTCTCAACTCAGCCAGGCCCTTTGTGAGTTTCAAGTCACAAGATATGCTAGAATTAATTGAAATGGTTCTTATTGCACTACTATTTTGTTTTCTCCAGTGAAAAGTTTCGAAGAAAAAGCAGAAAGGAAAAAGTGTGAAAAGCAAGGTCATGTGATGATCAGCTACCAATGGGATCATCAGGATGTGTTGAAGAGAATTGCCAGGGAGCTGCGTAAAGATAGCAGAATAGTATGGATAGATATAGACAGCATGGAGGGTAGTACAATAGAAGCCATGGCTACTGCCATAGAGGGCGCTAAAGTAGTTATCTGTTGCATGTCCCAGAGATATAAGGACAGTCCAAATTGCAGAGCAGGTCAGAAATTTTCATTTTGTTTGATTGACATGTTGTGACCTTTTTGATTGATATGTTGTGACTATTTTGATTGACATGTTGTGACCTTTTTGATTGATATGTTGTGACTATTTTGATTGACATTTTGTGGCCTTTTTGATTGATATGTTGTGACCTTTTTGATTGATATGTTGTGACCTTTTTGATTGATATGTTGTGACTTTTTTGATTGACATGTTGTGACCTTTTTGATTGACATGTTGTGACTTTTTTGATTGACATGTTGTGACTCTTTGATTGACATGTTGTGACTCTTTGATTGACATGTTGTGACTATTTTTATCCCCTTTTCAGAAGCCGAATATGCCTACCAGCTACGTCGACCAATCATACCTCTAATAATGGAGAGTGACTATCGTCCTGATGGATGGCTGGGCTTTATTTTAGGAGCTAAACTATACTATGATTTTAGTGGAAAGTACAGTTTTGATTCGAAAATTGGAGGGTTGACAAAGGCAGTGAAAAGGATTTATGGTAATCAAGGTGAAGATGTCATGGCCCCACACCCAGCTAGAGATGAGGTTGATTATTCTCCCATACAGAAAGAGGTGAGCCTTAGCATGTATTGGTTGAATTGATTCACTGTCTCGTCATAATTGCTCTAATGGGAAAAGTCAATCCAAGAATGATCAATGAGAATTGTTTCAAATGATGTTGTTCCCAAACCTTCAACACCAGACCGAATCTTGAAAGCACAGGCACAGGTATCAGAATTTTTCTTACATTGAGGTGGATTTGAACACACGGCACCTAATCGCCAAAAAGACAACAATCAAACTCGCTACAGACTGAGCTATTCCACTGTCCTAGCAGAGGACAATCCAACTCACTACTGACTGAGCTATTCCACTATTCCACTGTCCTAGCAGACGACAATCCAACTCACTACTGACTGGGCTATTCCACTGTCCTAGCAGACGACAATCTAACTCACTACTGACTGAGCTATTCCACTATTCCACTGTCCTAGCAGACGACAATCCAACTCACTACTGACTGGGCTATTCCACTGTCCTAGCAGGCGACAATCCAACTCACTACAGACTGAACTATTCCACTGTCCTAGCAGACGTCAATCCAACTCACTACCGAATGAGCTATTCCACTGTCCTCGCAGACGACAATCCAACTCGCTACCAACTGAGATATTCTACTGTCCTAGCAGACGACAATCGAACTCACTAGACTGAACTATTCTACTGTCCTAGCAGGCGACAATCCAACTCACTACAGACTGAGTCATTCTACTGTCCTAGCAGGCGACAAAATAGACTCTTTCATCTCAAATAATGTAATATTTTCAGACTGCTGTTAAACACCATTCAAGCCACCAAAAAAAAGAAGAAGATGAAAAAGTTAAGAAATGGACATCACAGCAAGTTGGAACTTGGTTGAAAAAACATAATTTGAATGGGTAAGAAAGCTACTTTAAGCGGTCACCTCACTACAAATAAATCATATTCCAATGGAGGAAAGGGGGGGTTCAACCTTTTATCTATCCATAACCCCTTTCTGACAGCTGACAGAGAAATCTATATATTTTCAGGTATGACAAGTTAAGTAAATTAAGTGGTAAGGAAATTGTCTTTTTGAGGAATCTTCAAGATAAGGTAATCTATAATTATCTGAAGTTATCTTTCACTATTAACAACAATGATTGCATTGAGTGATAGATCAAGATAGATCGATGAATAGATAGATGTATGAATAGATAGATGTATGTATAAATAGATAGATGTATGTATGAATAGATAGATGTATGTATGAATAGATAGATGTATGAATAGATAGATGTATGAATAGATAGATGTATGAATAGATAGATAGATGTATGAATAGATAGATAGATGTATGAATAGATAGATAGATGTATGAATAGATAGATGTATGAATAGATAGATGTATGAACAGATAGATGAATAGATGTATGAACAGATAGATGAATAGATAGATGGATGGATAGATGACATCCTATCCCAATCCAACAACTATTTTTTCTATTTTCAGGCACCAGAGTATTTTTATCATACACTTGAAGATAAATTAGAAGTGACACAACTCGAAGCAATGGCCGACTTCACTGATGCTATACAAGATCTCACGGAGTAGAAAGAAGGTTAAAGGGATTGTGAAGAGGTTGAACCATGTTTAAAATATAACGAGACTCAAGTTATACCTCGAGACAATCAATGTAATTCAGCTGCCATTTTGAAATTTGTTAAATGGAGTTATTTCCCTTGAACCATGATTAATATATAATGAGATTATTTTACGTGCTAAAAATATAACGTGTATTTAAAAACAGGGGCAATAAATATTTATACTAAATATTTTTAGATTTTTCTGATTTTCAATAGGGTTCATACATGGGTGATTACACACACTCACACCAAGTTACGCCAAAATCCATTAAGAATTGTGCCTTCTAGAGTGTTTACGAGCCATTCTTGACAGGCGGACGGACCAACAGACATGGGTGCCCAGAATTATCTGGAAATTTGTTAAACAGCACACATTTTTGAGGAACGGAAAGGTGCGATTAAACAGAGTTTCACTGATCACTTAAGCACAGAATGAAACACAAACTAAGTTGCCGAAAGCACTGGCCAAAGAATCTTACCTATACTGGAAATATCTCTCAACTGTTCTTTATCTGACAGCATATTAGAACACAGTGTATCTACGATAGTCTCTACTTGAAATTCCTTTACTTTATTTACTAGAGGACCCAGGCTGGAATATAAAAAACCTCACCTAAAGGCTCAACAAATATTGACATCACACAAAAATTATATCATTAACATCACCTAAAGGCTCAACAAATATTGACATCACACAAAAATTATATCATTAACATCACCTAAAGGCTCAACAAATATTGACATCACACAAAAATAAAATCATTAACATCACCTAAAGGCTCAACAAATATTGATGTATTTCCCCTGTCAATGATACAGGCCAGAGTGGGGGCAGAAGACATGGCAAAGAAAATATCCAATAATTCCTTAAAAGAGGTGGGCGTATGACAAAATAAAATACCCACCATTTTACTGCCAGATTCTGAACCTCGCCATTTTTATCTTCAAGTAGTTTTAACAACATTTTTACAACCTGAAGAAAGAAAGAAACAACTATATTTTACAAGGATAATAACTTAGGTTCACAATTAAGGATCCTTTCTACCAGCTGGTCCTTGACTAAGCCTCTTGGTATTGGTCTTTCCTAGATTATCTGTACCCATTTACAGCTGGGTTGACTGGAATAATGAGGATCCTTTCTACCAGCTGGTCCTTGACTAAGCCTCTTGGTATTGGTCTTTCCTAGATTATCTGTACCCATTTACAGCTGGGTTGACTGGAATAATGAGGATCCTTTTTATCAGCTGGTCCTTGACCAAACCTCTTGGCATTGATCTTTCCCAGATTATCTGTACCCATTTACAGCTGGGTTGACTGGAATTATGAGTGAAGATGACTTATTCAAGGTCATCGGAATTTCACACGCCGATCAAGATCGCAACCCACAGCAGCCATTTACTTGACGTAACCAAGCAAGTAGCAATAACCAGCTCAAATTCAGCCATCTGTATCATTTTGCAGATTCATAATCTGACATCCCGTTCTCTTACAATTAATAATTCCAAAATCATTTTTCTCATTGACCCTAAAATCATAATTTCAAATAAGATATTGTCTGAATTTTGTTATCAAAGTCCAGCGATTTGCCAACTCGCCATCCCTTTGAGACATCCTTACCTTTCTTTCACTGTCATCATCTAACTTAATCGAATCTTTCTGTAATTCTCCCATAAGATCATTGGTGGCCATAAACCGAAAATCTTTATCACTGGACGTCATCTAAAATTAAAAATTTAGAAATAAATGTGTCTGGATATCGATTACAAAATTGAGATCGACCGTTCGATAATCGATTAATAACCAAAATAATTTAATTGAGAAACCCCGTAAATACTAAATTAAAAACATGACAAAATTCTTAATTTCATGGGTTATTTTTGTGTTATAGAAATATATTCTTGTTTTGATCAGTTATTATAGTTTATTGTGGGTAAGTTATGTGCTGAAGAGAAACCCTGTAAATACTAAATTAAAAACATGACAAAATTCTTAATTTCATGGGTTATTTTTGTGTTATAGAAATATATTCTTGTTTTGATCAGTTATTATAGTTTATTGTGGGTAAGTTATGTGCTGAAGAGAAACCCTGTACAGTGGAGAAAATGTAACTTTGACATATAATCAATTATGAAATTTGATAATCGATAATCAAAATTATAAATTCCTAGCCACCATGATCAATTATTTTCATCATTTTACCCAGCCTTATTACGGCAGACATCTTTTTTTTTAAACAGTAAGCAACTGGTCAAAACCCCAAAACAAAAGCTTAACATAAAAGGTCAATGTTTAGGGGTTGATTTGTGTCTTGAATATATGTAAGTAGTCTTCAGAATTACTAAAAGAACTAAAAGAAATTTCATTGTGTATTTATTTCGTTCACAAGTTTGTCTACTTTCTGAAAATTGTGGCCCAAAAGTTAAATGCATTGAACAAAATTCTTGACATTTCAACTGGGTACCATTGATTGATGAAATAAAGTTGATCAAAATAAAGAAGTTCTTATCAAAAACTCTTGGCGTCTCGCTTGTCAAAATATCCTAATAGGAAAATGGAAAGTCAAAACATTGGCTACGAAAAATGACATTGACAAATTGATCTATACCTTTTCCAGCAAATTTGCGATATGATATGATACACTCGCCATTTTGACAAACAGCAGAACTGGTCAGCGACACAAATTAAATAGAAAATCTACTCAAAATCTTCAAAATAATCGTCTATTTCTGAAAATTATTTCGTTTACTCATGCCGCAATCTTTGACCATGCGCAGTGATCACTTCCGGTTGTCGGCTAAAATGCAGTGTTGCCAGATTTAAAGAAAACGTAAAGTTTATTTTCTGGCAACACGTAGTAAAATACGCCATATTTTGTTTTTAAGGGGTGTTTTTCTCTAGCACTGCGAGGGAAACCGCGGTAGCTTAGAGAATACGCTTGCTTACTGCCCACCCCCCCCCCCCCCAAAAAAACAACAAACAAATTTTAGTGATGTTTTCGTATAAATTTAATGGACAATGTACATAGACATCTTTACAGACAATCTTCTTTTAAATTTGTTCCGCCAACACCCCCCCCCCCCCCCTCCCTCACCCTTCACCCTCTGTCGTACTTTAACCTCTCCTGCCTATCTCCAATAATCATCATCAACATTCTCATAAGTGAAATCATTTCTCGGATCAACACCCATCAGGTAAGCCATTACAGCTGAATACGTTCCCAGAACGCAGAAGAACACGACAAAGAGTTCCAAAACCAGGTTTCGTCGCATCAGAAACAGCCGGGCAATAGATCTTCGGTTGTTTACGGGTCGTGGTTCATGCATTTCCGGTTCGGATTCATTTGCTTCCGGTCGATCTAGTACATTATCACCAGCTGAGTGGTGGAGAGCTTCCACGCCTTCTAGGTCATCACCTTGAACAAACCGATTCCGAGCAGCAGAGACAAGATGATGGTAAAGCTTATGCAAGTTTTCCAAAGATCTCGATTTTTTCAACTGACGATGACCGCCGTTCTTCGGTTGAGAGGATTTTCTGTGAGACTTAGACAACTGGCTTTTACGTCTACTTCTTCGAGAAACCATCTGAATCCATCTGGCAGGAGAAATCGTACCCTTTGCCCCCTTTCTACCTGTTGCTTCTTCTAAAGCCCCAGCTTCATCTTCGGCGTCTTCTGTAGAGCTATCGTCAGAGATAGAGCTTGGATCTAAAAAATAAAGAATGCAGTCATTTCCGCACGCATGATGTGGTCCGAACCAACACAAGACGTTCGTTCCTTCCAAAATATGTCTGTCATTGCCCAATCTCTTAGCATGGTTTGCCGTTGAAATTTAAATGAATTGGAATTTTACGTCCAACTTTTCCACATCGAAATGGGCTAATGAAGACGGGCAACCGAATTCACAACGTAGTTTGAATCGTGCATCCCTTACCTTCATCGTCAATTCCAAAAGACCTTTGATCTTCCGTTTTGCCAGGGATTGGAGGCTGATTGAATGTACTAGTTGATGGGAAATCATTTGAATCTGCACTAGAAGATGTTGTTGCATTATCACCATCAGGAACAGATAATGCATCCACGAAGTTCCATCGATTTGGTTGTGGACGAGTTGTTGGAGAGAACCGGACTGGTATTGATTGGAAAGTGGAATTTCGTTTCTCCGGTGTCACAAAACAACGATTCTCAAGTCCAGGTGCCAATTTCAAAGAGGTTTCGGATTTTCTTGAATCTTCTTTGCAGATTGAGCTAGAAAACATGGAATATGGCCTCGATTCATCAAGTTTTGCATTTGCTCCACCCTTGCCCCTCTTAAAGCCAAAACTTTGACCAAAGCTAGTTGAACCGTATTCTGGTCGGTTTTCTTTGGGTTCACTGGTTGCTATGGTTCCCAATCGATCTCTTGAATTCGTTCCATGGTTTGACAGACCGGTATTACTAGTCTTTGAATCATAAAATGAAATTCTGGTAGAAATAGATCCAGCATCTTGCTCAGTCCAATTTTCCTGGCTTTCGGCAACTTTCGGTTTGTTTTGGTTGATGGGTTCAGCAACTGGTTCAGTCCAACTTTTCTGCCTTTCGGCAACTTCCGGTTTGATTTGCCCGACGGATCCTGTAGCTCGCTCGGTCAAATTTTCCTGCCTTTCGGCAACTTCCGGTTTGTTCCGCCCGACGGATCCTGTAGGTTGCTCTGTCAAATTTTCCTGCCTTCCGGCAACTTCCGCTTTGTTTTGCCCGATGGACCCAGCATATCGCTCTGTTAGATTTTCCCACTTAAACCTTTCGATAACTTCCGGTTTGTTTTGGCTGATTGACCCAGCATATCGCTCTGTTATATTTTCCGGCCTAAACCTTTCGCCAACTTCCGGCTTGTTTTGCCCGACGGATCCCGTAGCTCGCTCTGTCAAATTTTCCTGCCTTTGGACAACTTCCGGTTTGTTTTTCCTGATGGATCCAGCATCTCGCTCTGTTAGATTTTCCCACTTAAACCTTTCGCCAACTTCCGGCTTGTTTTGCCCGACGGATCCTGTAGCTCGCTCTGTCAAATTTTCCTGCCTTTGGACAACTCCCGGTTTGTTTTTCCTGATGGATCCAGCATCTCGCTCTGTTAGATTTTCCCACTTAAACCTTTCGATAACTTCCGGTTTGTTTTGGCTGATGGAACCAGCATCTCGCTCTGTCATATTTTCCAGCTTAAACCTTTCGGTAACTTCCGGTTTGTTTTGCCCGACGGATCCCGTAGCTCGCTCTGTTAAATTTTCGCAATTAAATCTTTCGGCAGCTTCCGGTTTATTTTGGCTGAGCAGCCGCCTTGCAGAATCCCTTTCAAGATACTTCGTACCATATTCACGTGGTGCTGCTTGTGCCTCATCCTTAAGGCAACTTTCCCATAACTTCTTGGCTTCAAGCAAAGCACAACGTTCATTTGGAGCTTGATGAACTGGATGGGGCTTCTTAGTGATACCCGTTCCATATCTATCCTTTCGTTTCAGCTTCGGCGAAGACTTCTTCAATCTTGCTTTTCTGAAAGATTCTTTGAGTTTTTCTTCGTAATCCCTGATATTCGGACTTGAATCCATATAAGGATAGGGTTCATCTATTGAAAGATCCAGAGTTCCCGAACCAACTGATACTGATGCTTCAACATCTGCTTTTGCTTCCACGGATGCTTCACTGGTGACTTGTCCAACTGATACGGGACCATCTTCTGGGGTAACTTTGCCTTCAGGACTGGTTGGTACTTCTCTACTCTCTTTTACGTTTTCGATCACCTTCTCAGTTTCAGTTTTTGTTGGAAAAATTATTTCCTTCAATTTCATTTCCAATTCATCCAAACATTTTATTTCTACTTGTGGACTCTCTGCAGCCTGATTTTCCGATGGACCACTAAGAGCTCTATCTCGATCCTTGGAAGATCCGTTTGAGCCCGACTGATCCTTCGAGGCGTCACTTGTTCTCGGCGAATCCTTGAGTATTCCACCCGTTCTTGGTGAATCCTTGAGAGTTGCATCTTTATTTGCCAGACCTATGGAAATTTCATTCGTTTTTAATGGTTTGTTGGAAGATTCATCTGTTTTGGATGGATTGTCTGGTGGATTGTTGATGGTTGCATTGGTGCCTTTGAGTTCCTTCCCAACAGTTCCGTGTGTGCCTGGCAGATTCCCAGATGTCCCATCTGCGGTACTAAGAGACTCGTCCGTTCCATCTACCCATGGTTTATCAAGAATAGATTCTTTTGCTTTAAATACCGGATGTGCTGATGATGCGTTCCCTTGCTTCGCCTTTGGCTTCGGCGGAACAGGAGGCGTTGGGAGTTGCCATCTTGCGTTTCTCAAAGGACTTGCGTTTCTTTTTGGTTTGGGTGCAACTGGAGGTGGGGACGGTGATCGTGCATCCCTTGGTCTGGCAAGACGTGGCGCCTTTGTGGTTTGTGAAGTATTAGGTGAATCAGTTGGATCTTGCTTGTCCCAAAAACTGACAGCGGCTTTAAAGTCCAGTTGTTCTTTAGTAACTGCAAAAGAGTCAAAAGTATCAAAGTTTAATATTAGACCAGAATTTTGGTTTGTGGTCTTGTTAGGGTAATAGACCTGCAATCGAACGCAGCTTCTAAGCGGTACGATTCCGACTACACTGCATTTTAAGGAAGCAAACGTACAAAAAACAATAGATTACCTTCCGTTTCCATTATTTTAGAAAAAAATCGGATGAAACACAAAATATTACATCTTTCGTGAAGCGCTGTACTAAAACGACGTTATGCCTTTATGACGTTGTCCATTGTTAGCCTATACCAGTGGCGCCGCCATCCTTCCGGGGTACAAATTAATAGTGGACAGACTTTAATGGGGGGACAACTCTCGAGTTTGAGATTCAAAATGTGATAGTTCTGTCGAAGCACCATGTTTTGGGGCAAAAACGTATAAAAAATATCACCTCTTAGTAGGCCTACTCATTAATCTGGGCTCTATGAAGTATTGAAGAAGAAGTCGTGACCACAGTGGCTACATAGTCTCGATTATCACAATAACTGGTCTGGGCGTTCAAGACTTTGCCGTCTGATAATTCGCGACTGAGGCCACTTCCGGCGTAACTGAAAGTAAATCCTGCCACAGGTTGAACAAAGCGATCGAATTAAAATGAAGGTTACTCAACAATCTTAGCTTATTGATTTGTTAGGTAATGATTCAGTGTGTCTGCTTCCCATTTTGACAACTGTCACCAATATTCGCTTCACCTTCAGACTTTGACGTCGTGATCGAAATAATTGATCCATTTTTGTTTTTAGTTTTAGAGCCTGGTGTATGTACATTTTTTACGTCAAAGATGTTTTTTATGGTTCTGTATTAGCCTAAAGCAAAGGACACTGCTTTTTATTGATATATATGAACTGATCATTTATTGGTTGAAAATTACATGACTTAGAACAGGAGATGCATAACAATTTAGTCAGATCATGGCTGTCATTTGGTTTGGAGTCTAGTAGACTTATGTTCACTTAAAGGGATTGTGAAAAGATTCTTCTTAAATTTTTATGTGTATCAGGGACACTGATAGCATCTATTTGCACCATTCCAATTTTCAATCAGACGTCTGTGATTCCTGCAATTCCACTAAATGTCACTATGGAAACAGATGCTATTGATATATAAGGACCTTTGCGATTAGTGACATCATTAAATGCATAGTTTTAGTGGAATTGCAGGAACCACACAGACGTCTGATTGATGTGTTATTTCAATTTCAGATATTCCTAACATGTGAAACAGTAAAATTAGAAATCCAACACAGTCATAATAGAAATCCAACACAGCTATAATGAGAAATTTGGTTCAAACTCTCTGTAGCAGACGCCTTCAGTTAGTCTCGGCCACCAGACAACCATCATGGCTGCCCTTGCACAGTCGAGTTTTACACCAGAAACACAAGTTGTCCACATCAACCACAAGATATTTCAACTTGAATAAAATTGAACAGATTCGAAATGGTAAGTATGGTTCCTGTAATATGGGAACTTTTAACAAAATCTTGGTCGTTCTATCAGTAGTGGCGCCAAAAATGGTACCCAAATATATCCCTGCGTCATTTTTAAAAAAATTCAACACATGATATTCGTTTTTGCCACAAAATGTGTGTCAGAATATACCAAAGGGCTAATTGCTATTTTCAGGAACATTGAGTGTATCAGAAGAAGTTCGTCAGGCGTTACACGAACATGGACCAGTGGTAGCTCTAGAAAGTACCATTATAACACATGGTATGCCCTACCCTCATAATATAAAGTAAGTCAAACGTTGGTCACCTTTCTTCTGAGAAATTGTTTGATGGGGTATGGATCAGCTGGTAGACAGGATCCTCATTATTCCAGTCAACCCAGCTGTAAATGGGTACAGATAATCTAGGAAAGATCAATACCAAAAGGTTTGATCAATGACCAGCTGGTAGAAAGGATCCTCATTATTCCAGTCAACTCAGGTGTAAATGGGTACAGATAAACCTTTCAAGATGAATACCAAAAGGTTTGGCCAAGGACCAGCTGGTAGAAAGGATCCTCATTATTCCAGTTGACTGGATTGGTACGAATCCAAATTATGCTAAAAATTTGATAAAGAAAAACTAAAACAAAATGTATAAGAAAATTTAAAATTTCTGTGTTTGTTTTTAGGACTGGGCTAGAAGTAGAAGATATAATAAGAAAAAATGGCTGTATCCCTGCTACTATAGGTGTTTTAGATGGTAGAGTACATGTTGGTCTGGACAAGACACAGTTAGAGCAGCTGGGATCTAAAGGAAAAGACCTGGTTAAGATTTCCAGGAGAGATTTCCCTTACGTGTTAGCTAAGGTAAGGCCTTGGTAGGGTTCAATTCCATTATGTCAAGATATTACGAACTCTCCAGAACATACATAGCCATATTGCTTATATATTGTTTCTGTCCAGGGCTTTGATTTGCTGTACTCTATGGCATACCATCCAATCAAATTGCTGCGTTTACGAACATTTACATTAATACAGTGGTACAAAAATGTACAGTCTGGATAAACAAAAAAAGACTTTTTGACCTTTCTTGATCGGTCACTCATTTGGAATTCTGCTGGTAATTCTCTTCTAATTAGCTAATTATGAATTAATTATGGACATGTGAGACAAACTGGTATTTTTACAAGTCATTAGAACACCTCTACTTTCTATTCATATAAGAATTAGAATTTTCATTTTCATAAATAAAAATAAGGGAACCCATCTTTAATGCAATGAAGACTATAGCTTTCCTTACAGGCTAGAGTTTTTGATCTGAAGGCAATTTTGTTCTCAGAATTTTGAGTTGGTCTCTTTTCACCTCAATGGTGCTATCTTTTGCAGAAATTAAGTGGTGGAACCACAGTATCAGGAACCATGTTGGCATCTCATTTGGTTGGTATACAGATATTTGCGACTGGGGGCATTGGTGGAGTACATCGAGGTGCTGAACAGAGTAAGCTTGCCCTTTATCGATTTTAAAAAAGTCCTTCGTTTCTGCTATTTGTCTCTAAGAGGACAGGTTGTAGCACAGTCAGTTAGAGCATTGAAATCTTATTATGACATCATTTGCTTAACATAAAACAATTGGTGGAGGGGTGAGTTTTAATGTCAACATAGGTCGAGATAATACCATTGAATTTTTCAACCCGGTTTCCCCCTGTCAGTGATGCAGGTACGAGGGGCTGACATGGAAAAAACGTCTAGTTGTTCAGATGAGACAATAAACCGAGGCCCCGTGTGCTACAGGCTGTGCACATTAAAGATCCCTCGACAGTTGGAAATCGAAAAAGAGTATGCTAATGCTGCTGTCCTGGCAAAATTTCCCTTACTGCACACTGCATGGCACCAGTCTTCATTAGCCCACATGGTGCAGAAAAGTAGGACGTAAAACTCTATTCATTTCATTTCCCATATCAAAGTTATTGACAAGCTAGTTTGTAACCTTTGTAAATTTTAGCAATGGATATCAGCGCTGATCTTACAGAGTTAGGCCGGACACCGGTCACTGTGGTCTCAGCTGGGGTTAAGTCCATTCTGGACATCGAGAAGACTCTAGAGTACTTGGTGAGTGATCATAGTTTCAATTTTCCAGTTTGCGGGGAAAGGTGTCGCCATTTTTGCTTATTGCTAAGAGACAGGGGAAACATGGCTTTCTGATGTAAGTAACGATCCTTGATTGCAAAGTTGAGAAAGCTAAATGCAGACTGGCGTCTGGACCTTGTTTTTTCAAAATATTTTACTGGCTTAGGACGTAAAACTCCATTCATTTCATTTCAGACTTGCAAAGTTTTGCACCAAAGATGTTACCATGGAAACTCGATATCACTTTTTTACCTCCAATTCAGGAAACTTCTCTTTATTTGTTACCATGGAAACTCAATATCACTTTATGACCTCTATTTTAGGAAACTCAGGGTGTTTGTGTGGCCACGTTTGGTCAGGATAAAGATTTCCCAGCATTCTTTGTTCCGTCCAGTGGTCTGAAAGCTCCGTATAATATCCGTGATGAGATAGAGGCTGCAGAAATGATCTACAGTAAGTACTGTTTTTTTTTCTAAGAAATTCAGTTTGATCGAATAGAGCATCATATTTTGTTTCATTGCATTCTGTGGGTTACTTCACTGATTCACTGTCATCATTTCCATTGAATTGCAGACAAACCAGATGTCAGATTATTGTTTTAAAAAGTGATACAGCTGGGAAATAAATGTTAAGACAGCTTTATACTAAGAACACAATGCATGATACTCTTGATTTTATTTTAGCAATGTTTTAATTCACATACAAAATACATTTAAAACTGATTACCGGTAATTTCAGCCATTTTGTTTTGTTGCAGACGGTCAAAATAAAATGAAGTTAGACAGTGGAATATTAATCGGAGTTCCCTTACCAGACTCTTACAATGAATATGGTCAGCAGATAGAAACAGCTATTGATACTGCGCTTCACGAAGTTAGGTGAGTATTTTCGGAGTTGAAATACTTACGAGCTCAATTGAAGCTATTGATAAGAGTTTCTGATAGTGAACTCACTGAACAGGAGCGAGAGATCAATTAAAGGGACAGGTACGCCATTTTTTTAGACCAATTATACTTTAGTCTCAGAAACGGGAATTTTTTAGCTAAGCCAATCAGTAATAGTGTTCACAGCTCACTGTCGAAATTTGAGTCTTCAAATCCATGTGTGTCCAGAATTATCCACGTTTGAAAGTTAAAATGACGACTCGTCTTTTCTTGAGACACTGTGATATATAGAAAAGATATCTATAGAAATAGTGAGTAAAATTCCTAGTTTGAGATATTTTTAAAGGAATTATGTGATTTTCGTACATTTCTAGTACTTCTGAAGACTAATTACATATATTCAAGACTCAAATCAACGGCCAAAATGGCGCACCTGTCCAATTCGCGGCTTTTGTCACATCCAGTTGACTAAATCTCACTTCATGCCATGGATACATGTTTCAGGTACACGATCATGACAGCTAGTTTTGGAAATAGAGATTGTATTTGCAATATACCAGGGGAAGTTATGGTCATGGAAGATTGCTTTTAAACGATTAAGACAAGCTTTTGGAAATGTTTCAAAAATAGAAAATTTGTTTTTGATTTTAATATTTTTCAGTTTAAAGAAAATACAAGGTAAAGAAGTTACACCGTATATTTTACAGAGAGTTCACGAACTTACAGGCGGAGAATCTCTTCATTCTAGTATCCTTTTTACACATGGTTAATAACCTTAGTTGCAGGAACCACAGACGTCTGATTGAAATTTGGAATGGTGTAAATTGATGCTATCAGTGTCCCTGATACACATAAAAAATTTAGAAAACCTCTTTAAGGTAGAGCTGGGTATCCATTAGCAAATTGAGATGGATTATCAATGGCAGACTAACGATCAATAATCAATTAATAATCACAATAATTTAATTAAGAAACCCTGTTTTAAAAACATGACAAAATTCTTAATTTCATGGGTTATTTTTGTGTTATAGAAGTATATTCTTGTTTTGATCAGTTATTATAGTTTATTGTGGGTATGTTATGTGCTGAAGAGAAACCCTGTAAATACTAAATTAAAAACATGTCAAAATTCTTAATTTCATGGGTTATTTTTGTATCATAGAAGTATATTCTTGTTTTGATCAGTTATTATAGTTTATTGTGGGTATGTTATGTGTTAAAGAGAAACCCTGTAAATACTAAATTAAAAACATGACAAAATTCTTAATTTCATGGATTATTTTTGCGTCAGAGATCTTTATTTCCTTAACTCCATTTAGATATTGCTTTGATTAAAAATAACGCTGATATTGGAAGCAAGATTGCCTGGCAGTTGACCAAACTACAGAATTCTACTAGAGTTCCAGGTAACCATGGCAACAACCGAAATGGACCTTATATTCAAACGAAGAAGACAAAGACCAAAAAGAAACGTCCAGTAAGTTTTCCACGATTTCTTACAGTTGAGGGATTGTAAAATGTTGGTCTTGTCTTTGGGCGAGGTACTGGAGCTATTTTTCACGTCTGACTTCTGTGATGCCATTAATTAAGAAGTCCGTGACTTGAACCCAACTTTCGTTTCGTTGTTTTATTAGTTTTTATTTTTAATATAGCCACTTCAGTTGGGGTCTAACGACAGCCCTTTTGAACAATCGTCAAATTAACCTTTTGACCTAACCTGCTTATACCAATCAAAGTTATGCCTTCTCCAGTGTTGGTGTTTTGTGAGAGATTGAAGGAATTTGATTGGTTAAAGTAGATGTGATCAGGTTAGGTCAAAAGGTTATTTTGACAAATGTTCAAGAGGGCTGTCGACTAATAAAAATAATGAAACGAAAGATTATACCTGCAGATTTTTCAACCTGGTTTCCCCCTAGTACAAAATGGCCATTCAGATTTGATATTGGAGTTCATTGGGCTATGATTTTCATTTTAGATTGTAATAGGAGGGTCTGTGGTGGATTTCAACGCCAGGCTGAAGAGTGAAGAACTCCAGGGCAACGGTTCCACAAATCCTGGAATTATTCATCAGAGTTTTGGTGGAGTGGGTAGGAATATCGCAGACTGTCTGGCCAGACTTGGTGCCGATCCATTGTTCATTTCTACCATCGGAGAAGACTGCCATACAGAGAACTTTCTAGCTCACTGTGGACATTTGGTAAGTTAAAAAGGGATACAGTTGGCTTAATATTGCCTCTTCCAGGTGATAGAACTTAAGTCAGCCATGTGTGTCACTTTTCAGAATGGAAATGTGGTGTAAAGCTTTTAGCTTTTCATTTGTTATCCTCAAACATTTATTCATTCATTCATTCATTCATTCACTCTTGATTCATTCACTCATTCATTTATTCATTCATTTACTCTTAATTCATCTCATTCATTCATTCATTTTAACATTCATTCATTCATTCACTCAATTCAATCATTCATTCACTCAATTCATTCATTCATTCACTCAATTCAATCATTCATTCACTCAATTCATTCATTCATTCACTCAATTCATTCATTCATTCACTCTTAATTCATTCATTCAATCATTCATTCACTCAATTCAATCATTCATTCACTCAATTCAATCATTCATTCACTCAATTCATTCATTCATTCACTCAATTCAATCATTCATTCACTCAATTCAATCATTCATTCACTCAATTCAATCATTCATTCACTCAATTCATTCATTCATTCACTCTTAATTCATTCATTCACTCATTCATTCATTCATACATTCATTCATTCTTAATTCATCTCATTCATTCACTCAATTCATTCATTCATTCACTCTTAATTCATTCATTCACTCATTCATTCATTCATTCACTCTTAATTCATCTCATTCATTCACTCAATTCATCCATTCATTCACTCTTGATTGATTGATTGATTGATTGATTGATTGATTGATTGATTGATTGATTGATTGATTGATTGATTCATTGATTGATTGATTGATTGATTCATTCATTCATTCATTCATTCATTCATTCATTCATTCATTCATTTATTCATTCATTCACTCATTCATTCATTCATTCATTTAAACAGTCATTTATTCATTCACTCAATTCATTCATTCATTCACTCATTCATTCATTCGTTCATTCATTCATTCATTTACTCTTCATTCATTCATTTATTCATTCACTCATTCAATTCATTCATTCATTCATTCAATTACAGGATTTACGAGGAATAAGAAGACAGCCCAACTGTTCTACAGCTACGTATTGTGGTGTCCTGGGTCCAAGCGGTCAGTTACAGCTAGGTATAGGTGATATGGACGTCCATCAACTGGTCACTAATCAAATGGTAAGTAATGGTCACTTTTTACCCAGGTATGGTCAATGGAGATCATATGAGCGGTTGTGACAGGCAGGTTGGGCTTACTCTTCTAGACACCTGATACCACTTTTCATTATGAAATACTTACTCACTTATGATTGATATACTTCCTCATATGAGGGGTTGTGACAGGCAGGGTAGGCTTACTCTTCTAGACACCTGATACCACTTTTCATTATAAAATACTTACTCACTTATGATTGATATACTTCCTCATATGAGCGGTTGTGACAGGCAGGGTATGTTTACTCTTCTAGACACCTGATACCACTTTTCATTATAAAATACTTACTCACTTATGATTGATATACTTCCTCATGTGAAAAGTTCATTAGCTGCTAACAATGTTTCGCGAAAATGTTGTTTTGGATTTTGGGTTTCGTTTTGCAGTTCGGATCGTTAGTATTTGGTTTATTTATATTTTAGATCTATGAATACGAAGAAGATATAAAAGAATCCTCCATTGTCATTGTTGATGGTAATATATCACCGGTTGCCATAGAAACAGCCTGCCAGATTAGCACTGTTTACAATGTACCAGGTAAGTTCGAGGTGATACCTTCGTATTTTTCAATCCGGTTTCCCCCTGTCAGTGATGCAGGTAAGAGAGGCTGACATGGAAAAAGCGTCTAGTCGTTCGGATGGGACAATAAACCGAGGCCCTGTGTGCTACAGGCTGTGCACGTTAAAGATCCCTTGACAGTTGGAAATCGAAAAAGAGTAGGCTAGTGCCGCTGTCCTGGCAAAATTTTCTTCATTGTACACTGCATGACGTCTGTCTTCATTAGCCCAATTAATTAATCATTTCATTTCATTGAGTTAAAAGTTAACCCCAATTTCTCAAAGCAGCTTTCCTGATGATGATTGTGTTTCCAAAACACCTGTTATTTGACGAAAATTCATCATAGGTCTAATTTTCAACGCTAACGCAAATATTGGTAGTTAAAGGGTTTTTTTTTTTTCAGTGTTATTTGAGCCTACAGATATTTTGAAAGCCAGCAGGCCGTTTTTGACGTCTGCTCACAAACAACTGACCTATACCTCCCCTAATATCAACGAATTACAGATTATGAGTACCGGTTTTACTAACAAACCTCTTTCTTCACAGGGTGAGTCTCTCCAATTCTTCATGTTCAATTAAGAATTAAACGTTGGTCTCGCTAACATTTTTGGTGTGTAAACGCAGTTGATCATGTGACAAACTGAATAAATGACAAAGTCATGCGTTTACAAACCAATAATGTGAGTGAGACCAACGATTAATTCTTATATTTATATTCAGATACTTTTATTAATACAATTTTCACCTTTTTATATGATCTGTTCCTTGAATTTGCCGCCAAGATTGGTCATCGTTGTGTTTTGACGACGTCATAGTGTCACATGACAAACTACAGTTTATCGGAATTTAAACACCAGTTTGCGTAACTGGTTCATTGGAGGTAGTGATAGTAGAAATGTAACTATTTCATTGTAAAAAGGTTTTCTAAATTTTGTACGTGTATCAGGGACACTGATAGCATCAATTTACACCATTTCAATCAGACGTCTGTGGTTCCTGCAATTCCACTAAAATTAAGCAATGTCACTTTTGCTAAAGCGTTGCTATAGTGACATCATAAAACGTTTAATCTATATGGAACTCCAAGAACCACAGACGTCTGTCGAAAGAAATAATGTATTCTTGACAATTACACAATTTGCGGGAGTCTAAACAGAAATGGAAAATGGCTTCTCAAAAACGATTTTTTTTCCTTTCAGACTTGCACAGTAATGAATTCCACAATAATGATGATGTCATAGCTTTTTGTATGCCGCATTGTTTACGATTGGTTGAAAAAATTCCTGTTGTCATAGTAACACTTGGCCAATATGGAGTTCTTTTGTGTAAGAAGGTAAGATCCTGATGACGATTTTGTATCCAAAGCAGAATGAGATGAGCTCTAGCCCAAGGTATACATCCTGTGCCTGTGCTTTCGTAACATTGTTTCCCAGGTTCATCAAAGAGAATACTGCTGTTTAGCGAAATTTCCATCATTGCACACAGTATGGCGTTGGCTGTCTTTTTGGGCTCACATCAGATGCAGAATAATACAACGAAAACAACCATTTCATTTCAGGTGGAGGGAAAGTTAGAAGCCAAACATTACCCAGCATACAATGTAGCACCTGAAGAAATCGTCAGCGTATCAGGAGCAGGAGATTGGTAAGTGATCTCTTCTGATTGGTTGATTGGTTGATACATTAGCTTGCTTACTTACGCACTGCTCTGAAGAAAATTCTAATCACATGATTTTGAAGCAATCTGATTGGTTAATTATTAACATACTAAAAAACTCTTGGTAACTACGATGAAATCCCAGGGTTCAATCCTGACATAGGTCGAGTTAATACCTTCGGATTTTTCAACCTGGTTTCCCCAACAGTGATACAGGTACGAGGGGCTGACATGGAAAAAGTGTCTAGTCGTTCGGATGGGACAATAAACCGAGGCCTTGTGTACTACAGGATCCCTCGACAGTTGGAAATCGAAAAAGAGCAGGCTAATACCGCTGTCCTGGCAAAATTTCCCTCATTGTACACTGCATGACGTTGTGTAGTGATGTTCTTAATCCTATTTGATCTAGTTATAACAAAATGGCGTGCTCTTAACCAATCTGCAACATGCTCTTACAAAGTTGGATAATTTTGATTATCGATTATCAAATTTCATAATCGATTATATGTCAAAGTTACATTTTCTCCACTGTACCTGTTAACAAGTAGTAATCTCTTCTACATAGTTTCCCTTCAACACATAACATACCCACAATAAACTATAATAACTGATCAAAACAAGAATATACTTCTATAACACAAAAATAACCCATGAAATTAAGAATTTTGTCATGTTTTTAATTTAGTATTTACAGGGTTTCTATTCAGCACATAACATACCCACAATAAACTATAATAACTGATCAAAACAAGAATATACTTCTAAAACACAAAAATAACCCATGAAATTAAGAATTCTGTCATGTTATTAATTTAATATTTACAGGGTTTCTCTTCAACACATAACATACCCACAATAAACTATAATAACTGATCAAAACAAGAATATACTTCTATAACACAAAAATAACCCATGAAATTAAGAATTCTGTCATGTTTTTAATTTAGTATTTACAGGGTTTCTCTTCAACACATAACTTACCCACAATAAACTATAATAACTGATCAAAACAAGAATATACTTCTATAACACAAAAATAACCCATGAAATTAAGAATTCTGTCATGTTTTTAATTTAATTTTCGATTATTAATTGATGTGGTATCTCAGTGAAAAATTACACAGTTAAGGACAATTTTTCATCATGAAATTTTTTGAACAGGCGGCTGGTAGCGCCAGATTAAACAGTTAACTTTAGCATTTTTAGCGCTAGCGCTTTGGCTTGCTTCTTGCTTATATCAGGGCTTGCTGGTTAGCTTTTAAGATATTTCTGCCTATTTCCTTACTTTGAAATTTTCATCCATTTAAAGAGATTGTAAAAAGGTTTTCTAAATTTTGTATGTGTATCAGGGACACTGATAGCATCAATTTGCACCATTCCAATTTTCAATCAGACGTCTGATTTTTTTGTTTTTTTCCCGCTTTTTTTGTTGGAAAGATTTTCTTGTATCTCAAGTTCACATCCATTTCCAAAATATCATGAAATTATGTATTTTTTTTATTTAAGTTTCATTTCTGCCTTTGTTAATGGTGTCATCCATGGCCATCACCATGACGACTGTGTAAAATTAGGACTTTTTGCTGCAGAGCTGTCTTTACGATCTTCTGAAGCAGTCCCGCAGACAATCCATCCTGAAGACTTTTCTCTATCAAAAATGGATTCCGTACTGGCAACAAGATCAATTCAAGTTGCCTAAAATGTGGTGCGGTCTTTTCTGCGGAACTGTTTTGTGGATTTTTGCAAAACTTTCCGATATAAGATCTTTCAAAAAAAAGTGCTGTGTGAAACCGGAATTAATTCTCTGCAGAGCTGACACAATCTTTTGAAAGAGTTTGAAATTTTGGTGGATTAAATATGGAATTATAAGAAAAAACAAAAACCTTTAGAATTGTGTTCAATAGGAGAAATTATTCCGATTTATTTGTGCTTATTTTACGTGCTTTTTACTGCGGAGCTGAATTCCTAACTTACGACTTTTAAGGACCAAATTTATGTGTTATGAACTTTCGGTGAATGTATTTTTTTTTTCTACCAAACCAGAGACGATATCAGGTGCTGGCATTTTGGGAGGTTGATTTGGGTCTTGAATATATGTAAATAGTCTTCAGAAGTACTAGAAATGTACGAAAATCACATAATTCCTTCAAAAATATCTCAAACTAGGAATTTTACTCAATATTTCTATAGATGTCTTTTCTATATATCACAGTGTCTCAAGAAAAGACGAGTCATCATTTTAACTTTTAAACACGGATAATTCTAGACACACATGGATTTGAAGACTCAAATTTGGACAGTGAGCTGTGAACACTATTACTGATTAGCTTAGCTAAAAAAATTCCTGTTTCTGAGACTAAGGTACGATTGGTCAAAAAGAATGATGAACTTGTCCCTTTAAAATGGCACTGTTTTTTGAGGACTTATCCCTTTAATTACGCAATATTTTTTCATGATTTTTTTCATGATGATGATGATGACTTAATGATTATTTTATGATTTAGGAATATTAAATATTATTTTTTTTAAAATCAGTATTATCTGTATACTTTCAATATTAAAGACAATTTCTTTTTAAAGAGGTTTTCTAAATTTGTTATGTGTATCAGGGACATTGATAGCATCAATTTACACCATTCTAATTTTCGTCTGTGGTTTCTGCAATTCCAATGAAACTAAGTGTTTGATGACGTTACTAATCGCGAAATTTTTCATTGGCTGTAAATGGTACAGAGTAAGAAGTAAAACTTTATTTCGTTTCATTTCTTTCATTAGTCACTGAACAGTGAGAAGTAAAACTTTATTTCGTTTCATTTCATTTCATTAGTCACTGAACAGTGAGAAGTAAAACTTTATTGCATTTCATTTCATTAGTCACTGAACAGTGAGAAGTAAAACTTTATTTCATTTCATTTCGTTTCATTTCATTAGTCACTGAACAGTGAGAAGTAAAACTTTATTTCGTTTCGTTTCATTTCATTAGTCACTGAACAGTGAGAAGTAAAACTTTATTTCGTTTCGCATTTCATTTCATTAGTCACTGAACAGTGAGAAGTAAAACTTAATTTCGTTTCATTTCATTTCGTTTCATTTCATTTCATTTCATTTCATTAGTCACTGAACAGTGAGAAGTAAAAACTCCATTTCATTTCATCAAAAACACAGTTGAAATGAGAATATTTTTTATAAAAAAAAATGACATGTCTATTTTACATAACGAAAATATTACAAAAAATTAACGTTCTCGATAAAATTAGTAACAAAATTTCTAAAAAAAAATATTAACAATTCTACAGCTAAGCTAGGAAAATCAGAATTAAATTACTTTAGGAGCAAAACCTAAGAACATTGAAAAAAAAAACTGAAAAAGCATTTTGGACCTAATTTGTACTTAATTTTCCCAGATAGTTAAGAGACCATTAAAGATGGGTTCCCTTATTTTTATTTTTGAAAATGAAAATGCTAATACTTATATGAATAGAAAGTAGAGGTGTTCTAATGACTTGGAAAAATACCAGTTTGTCTCACATGTCCATAATTAATTCATAATTAGCTAAATTAGAAGAGAATTACCAGCAGAATTCCAAATGAGTGACCGATCAAGAAAGGTCAAAAAGTCTTTTTTTGTTTATCCAGACTGTACATACAAGGACATTTATGATTGGTTCAAACTCTTAATTATATGCAATAAGAACATAATGATATGATTAAGAATACATGATAATTCATTAGAAACACCAATTAATCAAATAGTTTGCTTAATTTGACACTAAAAAATAAGGAATCCCATCTTTAAATTCATTTCTGGAACTTTGGGAAGCGTTTCGCGCTGTTTATACCGAAAAGAAATGAATCTTAAATTATCAAAAGTTGTACTTGTTTCCAAATTTCAAAAATAGCAAAATACAAAAAAATTTCATGATTTGATGAATCAAGTTTGGAGGGAATGAAATCGTAGTTAAGGCTTTGCGTGGAA